GCTGTGGTCAGAAGGTGGATCCCACACAGGACTCCCCTGGAGCCCTGCCTATCCCCATGAGCTGACCTTGATGTGTTTCCTTATTCGCATTTATTCCTCAGGTGTGTGTGACAGCCGGAAGGGGAGGCTCCCCTGAGAAAATATTGACAGACCTCCTGTCTCCTAGCTGCCTAGAGATTGTCATCCTTGAACATTGGAAGCTGGGACCCCAGGACTGACCACACGCCCTGGTCTTTGCTGCGATATCTCCTTAGACCTAGCTGTGCTACTGGAAACCAGCCAGCATGGAAGGAGAGCAGAGACTCCCAGGGGCTGCCAGGGGCTTACTGCTGATTGGCCCTGCCCTCCATTCTCCTAGGCAGGGTGCCAGGAAGCTGGAACTTTGTTATCTGGGTAATTAGCTTCAGACCCTGGACTGAGGCCGGCCAGGTCTTAGGGCTACTTCTCACAGGCTATGCACCCTGACCCCAAGAGGGAGGCGAGGCGCTGTGTACAGAGGTCCTGCCCGTTGAGCGGTTGAGGTGCCAGTCCTGCCTGGGGAACGACTGCTGGCACCCCCACACCTTCCACCCCACCCTGCCACACTGCCCTCCCTGCCTGGGCTCTGCCCCTTAGGGCAGCTAGGCCTGGTCATAGTGTGGGGCCTCCCATCTCAGCCTTGTGAGGGACAGAGGACACCAAGTCTCAGGAAGGGGATGCCCCCAAGGGTGCCAGTCCAGGCAGCTGCCCCACCCTTCAGGCTTGGCCTGGCCCTGCAGACCCGAATTGTGGTGCTCCAATCAGCTGTGTGGGCAGACCTCCACCACCATGGCCGAGCACCTGGAGCTGCTGGCAGAGATGCCCATGGTGGGCAGGATGAGCACCCAGGAGCGGCTGAAGCATGCCCAGAAGCGGCGTGCCCAGCAGGTGAAGATGTGGGCCCAGGCTGAGAAGGAGGCCCAAGGCAAGAAGGGCCAGAGGGCGCGGCCGTGGAAGGAGGCGTCTGGCCTAAGGCCTCGGAAGCAGGTCCTCTTCCCTCCCAGCGTTGCTCTTCTGGAGGCTGCTGCCCGAAACGACCTGGAGGAGGGTGAGTGTGCTGGAGTCCCGGGCAGGACACAGCAGGCACTCCCATCTGCCTGGGTGTGGTCCTGCTTTGTGTTGGCTCCGAACCTGGCCCAGAACTGTCTGTAGCTCCTGGACTCTAACCCCCGCCCTGCTTCTAATAGTCAATTGCCCTTAATAGGGGGGTGCATGCAGGGGTCTTTCTGAGGGAAAGCCAAATTATGGGATGGCAGGACCACAGGGTAGATGCACTGGGGATTGCAGAGAAACAGTGTGTGGGCTGCCTGTGGGTCCTCTCCCATTATGCATGGCCCTGAGTCCCTGGAGCGTGGCATACATAGCATTGCTCACCTCTTGTTAGAGATGGGGAGTAAGTGTCGGCCAAGGCCAGTGTGGGTCCTAGAGCACATACGACCCATTACTACAACACACTTCCCCAGGCCTGCCTTTGACTTTTCTCCTCTGACTGGAACCGTCTTAGAACGAAGACAAGTCTGACCTTAGGAGGTCCCTGTGCTTGGCCGTGCCCTGTGCTTGTAGCTTCTGGGGCCTGGGGGAAGAGGCGTCTGCTAGCTCTTGAGGACTCTTCCTGCCTTCCTCTTCTTGCAGTCCGTCAGTTCCTTAGTAGTGGGGTTAGTCCCAACCTGGCCAATGAAGATGGCTTGACTGCCCTGCACCAGGTGAGCCCCTGCGGGAGTGGGGTGGGGCTGGCTGGCTCGCTGGGGGTCGGGTGTGGGGCTTAGGCTGCTTGTTTGCAGTGCTGCATTGACGACTTCCAAGAGATGGCACAGCAGCTCCTGGAGAATGGGGCTGATGTCAATGCTCGGGACACTGAGTGCTGGACGCCTCTGCATGCTGCAGCCACCTGTGGCCATCTGCGTCTGGTGGAGCTCCTCATTTCACGGTAGGACCTGATGGTGTCCAGGTGGTCACTCAGGTGGCCCCTGGGATGCTTCCTCTGCCTTTACCTCCTCTGTCAACCCTGTCTGGGGTCCCAGGGGGAAGAGTGTGTTCACTGTGCTTTTTGGCCTGCCTGGCAGGGTAGACTTCCAACTCAGAGCCAAGGGTCTCTCCACAGTTTGCACAGGAGAGTGCCATGTGGTCAGTGTGAGGATGGACTTGGTAAGGAGGGAAGGGGACTGAAGAGACCATCCGTGTCTAGGAGGAAGTGCCAGGGTACAGGTGAGGCCTTTCCCCTAACAAGGAAGGCAGAACATAGGCTAGTGGCTTCTCTAGACTCAAGCACTTCTCGAGTAGGTCAGTGTAGAAGCTTGGTCACCCTTGTTTGAGTAGACGAGTCTCTGTGCCACATAGTTGTCTTGTATTGGAGTAGTGGTGTATAGCCAGCAGGTTCCTGGGCCTCCTCTTGGAGCTGGTGAGGAGCTGCAGGCATTCTTTTCGTTCTGCTCTTCCTCCAGGCATAGGCACCCTTCTGTTTTCTGGTGGAGCTCCTCATCTGCAAGTGCCTCTACTATATTTATGGGAGTAGATGGGAGTCATAACCCTGCGGCCTAGATGGGTAGAGACTGCCAAGTCTAGCTTGAAGACAAGATCTAGGGCTGAGGGGTAGCAGCCAGGCCCCGAGGCCAGCTTTTCTATCAGGAGCTAGAGCTTTGTTTTGCCCTTGCCTGCCCTCCCCTCCTGAGGACAGTCCTAGGCCGAGGGCCTCTGTGGAGTGGACACTTGCTGCAAGGGGACTGAGGATCCTTGAGTGAGGAGCTGTTGTATGGAAGTACTGAGGCCGGCGGCTTGTCAATCTTCCTCGTAGTGGCGCAGATCTCCTGGCCGTCAATACTGATGGGAACATGCCCTACGACCTGTGTGAGGATGAGCAGACACTGGACTGCCTCGAGACTGCCATGGCCAATCGTGGTGAGTGTGCTGCGCCTGCCCACAACAGGTGATGCCCTAGGTCACGCTTTCTCTGAGCCAGCGTGTCCCCCCAGGTATCACCCAGGACAGCATTGAGGAGGCCCGGGCAGTGCCAGAGCTGTGCATGCTGAATGACCTCCAGAGCCTGCTGCATGCTGGGACCAACCTCAATGACCCTTTGGACCATGGGGCCACTCTGGTGAGGACTCGGACACTTGGGGTGTCTGTCCTGGGGCAGGTACTTGAAGGGGTGTGGGCTGGGATTCAGGGCTGAGTGGTTTGCCTGCAGCTGCACATCGCCGCTGCTAATGGGTTCAGTGAGGTGGCTACCCTGCTACTGGAGCAAGGAGCCAGCCTGAGCGCTAAGGACCATGATGGCTGGGAGCCTCTGCATGCTGCTGCCTACTGGGGCCAGGTGAGTGCACTCGGGAGCAGGGAGAGGGGCGGTTCCGGGCTCTGGCGGGAGCCCTCAGCCAAGCAGCTGCTGCTGGCTGCCTGCAGGTGCACCTGGTAGAATTGCTTGTGGCCCATGGGGCTGACCTGAATGGAAAATCCCTGGTGGACGAGACGCCCCTCGGTGAGTGTGGGGTTGCCTACTTCCGGCAGAAGGGACAGGCCATGAAGATGCCTGTGACACCTCTGTCCTCTCTTCTCAGATGTGTGTGGCGATGAGGAGGTACGAGCCAAACTGCTAGAGCTCAAACACAAGCAAGATGCACTCCTGCGGGCCCAGGGCCGCCAGCGCTCCCTGCTGCACCGGCGGACCTCTAGTGCCGGCAGCCGTGGGTAAGCCCCCTACTGCGGGTCACGGCCTCTGTGGATGTCAGGGGCAGCAGAGCCCCAGTAGGACCTGTGGGCAGAGGTTGTGAGCTGGATGGCGATGTCTCAGCTTCCTCTCCCCAGGAAGGTCGTGAGACGAGTGAGCCTGACGCACCGCACCAACCTGTACCGCAAGGAGCACGCCCAGGAGGCCATCGTGTGGCAGCAGTCCCCGCTCACCGGTTCAGAGCCTCTGGAGGATGACGACAGGCAGACGGATGCGGAGCTCCAGCTGCAGCCCCCAGAGGTGAGCATGCAGCCTCTGTCCTGTCCAGACGTGCAGCAGTCTTGGCATGTGATCTTGTTATCCTCTGTCGTCCTCGCTAGCCCCCTGTGGAGGGGACAGGCCCCGTGACCCTGTGCTCCTAGATGGACTAGTGCCCCTCAGACATAGGTTGTCCTCCTTCCCACTCTGATGTCTGTCCATCTGCCAGAGCTTTACACAGCCTGGAGCTGTGTCCTGGCTACTGATGGCCTCTGGGTCCTGGCTCTGCCCACAGGAAGACAGCTCTGAGCTGACCAGGCCACACAACGGCCAAGCAGGGGCCTCCCCAGGGAGGCACCTGTACTCCAAGCGTCTAGATCGGAGTGTCTCCTATCAGCTGAGTCCTCTGGAGAACAGTGCCCCTGATGCCCTCGTCCGGGACAAGGCGCACCACACGCTGGCGGAGCTTAAACGACAGCGAGCAGCTGCAAAACTTCAGCGGCCCACCCCTGAGGGGCCGGAGACCTTGGAGCCTGGCCTGCCAGTGGACACTGAGACTTCCCAGCCTGACTGTGGTTTCAGAACTGGGGAACCGCCCCTGCTCAAGCTCACCGCCCCCTTGGAGGAGGCTGCCGTGGAGAAGAGGCCATGCTGTTTGCTCATGTGAAATGTGACTCCTCAGTGTGGCAGGGTTCAATCCCATGCCCAGCCAGAGGCTTCCTCATGATCTCTGGCCTGGTGGCCCGCTGCCGCGCATGCCCCAGTGCTGTAGGGAGCCAGCACAAGAGCCCTGCGCCCGCTTCCAGCCTTGCTGGCAACCTTGCTCAGGGATGGACTATGCAGAGCTGTACCTATGGGCCTCAGGCCACAGACTGCTATCCGTGACCTTGATAAAGGCTGTTTGCCACTGAGCCTGCCTATGTGTCTCGCTGGGGCAGGGCCGGTGGTGCTGCTGGGTTAGGAGCCACCCATGCCCAGGAGCACCCAAACCTGTAGGTGCGTGCTGAGGCTTGGAGGTGGCAGCCCCAGCTCTTGTGGGAGGGAAGCTCCAGGCTCCAGGCAGGAAGCCCAGCCTTTACCTCCACCTGGCCGGTTCAGCTTCTTGGAGGCTCCTCTGTAACCCTTTACTTTCCTGAAGGCAGCAGGAAACTCTGGACGAAGACTTGATGGGGAGTGCAGAGAGGAACCATGCAGAGGGACAGGGACCCTGGCTAGAAGGGATAGGATGCTTTCCTTAGCACTGGACCAGAGCCAGCACGGTGAAACGGGCTGGAGGCTGGCAGGAGGCACTTCCCAGGGTCAGAGTCTCAGTTCCTGGCATGTAGCCCTGATCCTGGGGCGTATCTGCCAGCTTCTGCCTGTGCTGGTATAGGTGACAAGCACTTGGCCACTCTGGCTGTGCTGGCTAGGCACAGTGCACCAGAGTGAGAGGGGCCCTTTTAGGGGCCTCAAGCCAGAGGGAAGAAGGCAACTCCAAATCATGTCCATCTGGCTTTGCATGGCCATACCTCCCAGGTGACATGGGCACTGACCTGGCCAGCCTTGTGTCCATCCCAAGGGCCTGTCCTTCCTCTAGCACCTGTGGCTGGAGGGTTAGTATCCTTGGAAGGGTTGGGGGAGGGTTGGTGGTGGCTGCCGGGTAAATTTAGAGCTGCGCTGCTGCCTGGAGTTCACCTGCCACCACTGCTGCTCCTGGGCCCCTGCTGGTGGGGAGCAGGCAGCTGCCCAGGCCAGGCCTATATTAATCCGTGCTCTGGTCTGAGGGCCGGAGCCAGGCCGGTGAGCCGGGAGGTCACTGTGGCATCAGAGCCAGATCAGAGGTGAGTGTCCCCACAGGGCCTCATGTGTTTCTTCCAGCCTGCGGGGACAGAGGGATCATGGCTCACCTCAGGCCTTCCTAGTGGCCTGCCCTCCTTAGAAGTCAGGCTCCCCAGCCCTCAACCTGAGCCATAGATGGGTCTGTGGCCTTAGATGACCAGTGTTGAGCATGGCCTATAAGCTTCCAGCAAGGCCAGTGGGAGTGGGGCTCTGTGAGCCTATCAGAGCTCACTTCCTGCTCCCTGTACCAATCAGGAGCAAGAAGGAAGAGGACTTAGTTACCCTTGGGCTGGGATGTGGCCCTGAGGGCAGCCTCAGGCTGGTGTGTATTGAAAGGGCATGAGGGCAGTCCAGGGTGAGGTGTCCAGGACTAAGTGTCCTGTCTCCAGTCATTGCCCCTCCCCCACCCTTGCAGTGCTCATCAGGGACCAAGGTCCAACCCCAGCACTCTGGCAGTGTCCATGGAACCCAGAGACTGAACACCTCCTCCTGCAGTGCTCCCCAGAATTCCTGAGACCTGGCCCAGTTACCCAGGAGACCAGTCCACTTGCCTAAGTAAAGATGGGGTGTGTGTGTGAGGTCTGAGAGAGCTAGGCCTCAGCTGGGCATTGCTGGGGTCAATCTCCAGCAGCCCCTGGCTCAGCTTTCAGTAGGCCCAGATGCTGACTGCCCTCTTCTCCCAGATTCCAGCGTGTCAGCTCTTGAGCCATCCGTCTGTCCCTACTCCCCAAGTGGGTCTCCTGCTCCCTCGTGGGGACATTAGGCGGCACTGGGACTCGCCCCAAGCCCCGCCTGCTGCCTTACCAACTCCCTCTGTCTCCCTGGGGCAGATCTGCGCCCAGACTGGTGGGGCGGGGCCCAGGGTGCTCCAGCTCCTTGGGCCCTTTCTGCCCCTTTCAGTAGGGCCAGAAGGCTGTGGTGAAGAGGGTGTCTCACCTCAGCAGACTTCCCCGTTCCCGGCCCCGATTCCCGTCTGGACACTTCACTTTCTGAGCCAACATCCTGCCTGGCTTGAACACTCATGGCCTCAAGAGTGAATGATCAAAGCCGGGCTTCAAGCAATGGACTGAAGGGGAAGGTGCTAACCCTGGATACCATGAACCCATGTGTTCGGAGGGTGGAGTATGCGGTTCGGGGACCCATAGTGCAGCGTGCCTTGGAGCTGGAGCAGGAGCTGCGTCAGGTATGGCTTCCGGCCGCTGGCTGCCCTTCTGCTAAACTTGGGTTGCTGAATTGGTCCCCAGCAGTGGGATGTGGGACAGCAGCACTGAGGTGATTGTGCCATAATCTCACTGCCTGCTCCCCTACTTTCCCAGGGTGTGAAGAAGCCCTTTACAGAAGTCATCCGTGCCAATATTGGGGATGCACAGGCCATGGGGCAGAGACCCATTACCTTCTTCCGCCAGGTAAGGCAGCAGCACTGCCTGTGGTCACACCCCCTCCCCCCCAAAACTGCTCTGGCCTTAGTATTTGGTTCTCCAGGTCCTGGCCCTCTGTGTCTACCCCCGTCTCCTGAACAGCCCTGACTTCCCAGAAGATGTCAAGAGAAGGGCAGAACGCATTTTGCAGGCGTGCGGGGGCCAGAGCCTGGGTGAGTGCCTGCTCCAGTGGAGTCCAAGCCTTAGGGAGGGGCAGAGATGAGTCCTTTGGGATGATTGTGGGAATTGCCCCCCCCCCCCCCTTACTAGCTTGTTCCGTTTTCAGGCGCCTATACCATTAGTTCTGGCATCCAGCTGATCAGGGAAGACGTGGCACAGTACATTGAGAGGCGAGATGGAGGCATCCCCGCAGACCCGAACAACGTATTTCTGTCCACCGGGGCCAGCGATGCCATTGTGGTAGGGTGGGCCAGGCCAGAGCAGCTCTACGTGTGAGGCTAAACTGGGCGCAGTCTGGTGCAGCAGCAGCAGCAGCAGCAGCTCTGCGTAGCCGTGGGGGCGCGGTAAGGTGTGCAACCCTGGGTTGCACTAACGCTGTGCGCCCCATCCCACCATAGACAATGCTCAAGCTGCTGGTGGCTGGCGAAGGCCGTGCGCGCACGGGTGTCCTCATTCCCATTCCTCAGTACCCACTGTACTCGGCCGCGCTGGCTGAGCTGGACGCGGTGCAGGTGGACTACTACCTGGACGAAGAGCGGGCCTGGGCTCTAGATATCGCAGAGCTGCAGCGCGCTTTGCGCCAGGCACGTGACCGTTGCTGCCCCCGCGTACTGTGCGTCATCAACCCTGGCAACCCCACCGGTAAGCCTCCCGTCTGCTCCGCCCCACCTAACCTTCCCTGCTAGCTCCGCCTCATAGTGCTCCTCCTATCAGCCCCGCCTCTTCCTCTGGGACCCGCCTTAGCTCTCCCGACCCCAGTGCGCCGCCCGCCCGGACCGAACGCATGTGAACTTGGTTCACTGTTGGCCCTGGCTGACCCTGTCAGTGCTGCATCTCCACACTCCAGGGCAGGTGCAGACCCGTGAGTGCATCGAGGCCGTGATCCGCTTCGCTTTCGAAGAGGGACTTTTTCTGATGGCTGATGAGGTACATATGCACAGGCGCACACCCGGCCGTGGTGACCCCTCAGCAGCCCTCGAGTGACACTGCTGTCCCTGCAGGTGTACCAGGACAACGTGTATGCCGAGGGCTCTCAGTTCCATTCCTTCAAGAAGGTGCTCATGGAGATGGGGCCACCGTATGCGTCGCAGCAGGAGCTTGCGTCTTTCCACTCAGTCTCCAAGGGCTACATGGGCGAGTGCGTACAGGTGCAGGTTGTGGTGGTGGTGAAGTAGGGGCGGCCCATGCCATGGCTCCGCACCTCCTCAGACGCGCCTTGCATCTTGTTCTCGCTGGCAGATGCGGCTTCCGTGGTGGCTATGTGGAGGTGGTAAACATGGACGCCGAGGTGCAGAAACAGATGGGGAAACTGATGAGTGTGCGGCTGTGCCCTCCGGTGCCGGGCCAGGCCCTCCTGGACTTGGTGGTCAGCCCGCCATCTCCCTCTGAGCCATCCTTCAGGCAATTTCAAGCAGTGAGCAGTTCAGACCGGGCCCAAGATTTCTGGTGATCCAGCTTTGGGCGGGGGGGGGGGACTGTAGGGGGACACATTGAAACCCACTTCCGTAATTCCCTCCTGTGGCTGCAGGAGAGGCAGGAGGTGCTGGCTGAGCTGGCAGCCAAGGCTAAACTCACGGAGCAGATCTTCAACGAGGCTCCCGGGATCCGCTGCAACCCAGTGCAGGGCGCCATGTATTCGTTCCCTCGGGTGCAGCTGCCCCCGAGAGCCGTGCAGCGTGCTCAGGTGGGGCATGCAGAGTCATGTGGGGGCTGATGGGGTGCTGGCCCGGGTGCTGTGACCTGACCACCCTCCTGATCCCCAGGAACTGGGCCTGGCCCCTGACATGTTCTTCTGCCTGTGCCTCCTGGAGGAGACTGGCATCTGCGTGGTACCCGGAAGTGGCTTTGGGCAGCAGGAGGGCACTTATCACTTCCGGTGAGGCCTGGTATGTGTTGACCCCACCACAAACGGGCCTGTGCCCCAGGCTTACTATTTGTCCCTTTCAGGATGACTATTCTGCCCCCCATGGAGAAGCTGAGGCTGCTGCTGGAAAAACTGAGGCATTTCCATGCCAAGTTCACCAATGAGTACTCCTGAAGTCACAGTCAGGACCGCAGTGGGCGGCCTCTACCCGAGCGAGCTCTATGAGTGTTTGCTGCTTTTGCCTAGGTCTGGGTACCTGTTCCTGCAGGTCCCTAATAAAGCTGGGTGTCCGCTGACTTGAAGTGGCTGCCTGGGTAGCCCCAGCTTTTGATTTACCTGATTGACTTTGGATAGGCACCTGGACCCCACTCAAGGGACACTAGACTCATCACCTAAAGGAGTTGCTAAGGGCAGTTCCCAGGAAAGGTTTGTCTTGAGAGGCAGGCACATCGTGGGCTAGGTCTTCATTACGGTCTTGAATGTGGGGCATGTGATGACCCCTTAAGACCAGGTAACGTGCTTGTAAAGAGTGAAGGCACACGTGGATCACACCCGCCTTTTACAGCCACTCCAGAGCCACTTGGGAGGGGATGGGGTTGCAGGGTATTCCAGGGGAAAGAGATCTTAGAGGCTGCAGCAGAAATAGTAAATTTCCCCTGGGATACACAATGGTGTCCTTCGTTCTGGCACTTCCTGTGCCAACTACGGGTGGAGCTGTAAGCGGTGTTACCACCAAGTTAGGAGCAGACAGCCAGACAGCCAGGGCTTGAGAAGACTGGTGTACGGCAAAGCCAGGATGCAGGTGGGGAGGAGTGGGGGTATGCTTTTGCAGATCACCTCTAGGAACACAGTAGGTGCTGCTTATGGAAGAAAGTATCCTGGGATGCAGACTCAGGAAGGCATGAGCCCCTGTGCGCAGTAGGTGCTGCCATGATTCACTTGTTGGGTCTGCAGTTATCCTCTGAAGTAGGCAATGGCAGTCCTCCCCCCTGAGTTATTTGTTTTGTTTTTGAGTTATTTTATTTTTATTTTTTTGGTTTTTCGAGACAGGGTTTCTCTGTATTGCTTTGGAGGCTGTCCTGGAACTCACTCTGTAGATCAGGCTGGCCTCGAACTCACAGAGATCTGCCTGCCTCTGCCTCCCGAGTGCTGGGATTAAAGGCATGCGCCACCCCCTGAGTTATTTGTGCTTCTAGAGATTGACTTTAGGACACCTGAACTATATCCTGCCCACCACCCTTTTTCAATTTTAAGACATGGTCTCGCTAAATTAATCCAGGTCAACCTTAAACGCACAATACTCTTGCCTCTGCCTGAATAGCTGAATTTAGTGGCGTTCACAACCATGCCCAAAAGTAGAACGCATTTTATAGATATGGAAACCTGGAGCCCTCGACTATGTGGAAGTGACAGGACAGCCCTCCGTGGAAGCAAGGCACCGTCAGGGTGCTCAGACTTGGACGCAGGGCCATGTGTGCAAATGGACACAACAGCAGTGCCCATATGTTCACTATGGTCTCGTTTAACAGCCCGATAGTGGCCTTGGGAGGGTACAACTCTGGGAAGAGACTGGGCGAGAGTGAGCCTTCCTTGCAGGACCAGAATCACGCGGGTTGGACTAGATACCCTCACTGAACACTGTAAGGGAGGGGGCTATCATGGGCGTATCTGACTGGGTTCTGACCTTTCCCACAAAACTCCGGGGTCTGAGGTCACTGCCTTGCGGAGATTCTAAAGCCAGAATCATAGTAAGGTATGGCGAGCAGTGTTAGAAGCACCGTGGAGTAGAGTACTGCCACCTCCATGGGAGCTGAGTATTAGAAACACGCACACCTTTAACCCCAGCACTAGGGAGAGGCAGACAGATCTGAGTTCGAGGCCAGCCTGGTCTACAGAGTGAGTTCCGGGACAACAGGGCTACACAGAGAAGCCCTGTCTTGAAAAACAAACGGAAGAAGTGCTCTGGGGCGAGTCTGGTAGCCATTGAGCAGAACGCCAGACACCTTAGAGACCTGCCTAGCACAGCTTCCTTCTCAGCCACTCACCCTGGCCGGGAGCACAAAAAGCAGGCCGCTGTGTCCAGGTTTGTCACCAGGGGCGCCAGAGCAGATGATCTCGGTCTCGAGTTTTTGCCAATTGAAGACTAGACTGCAGAATGAACCGGGAGTTGGCTCCACCCCCAGCTAAAGGAGCCCCGCCTCTCCCTTAGTCGACCCCTGCGCAAAGCATGCTGGTAGCCATGGGCTGCGCGCACGCTCACCACGCTCAGGTTTATTCCTTTGCGGTTTTCTCTTAACTTCTGTGCTTCCGGCATCTGGGGCCCCCCGTGTGCGCGTTGGGATCACTGTATGACTGTTCCTGACCCTATGTATATGGACTAAACCCTAGCCTTCCACGCGGAGCCATCCGATCCCACCACGAGCTGGTCATGCATGGGAAGCTGCTGCTGCTGGCCGGCCTCTATTTTGTGCAGGGTCTGCCCTATGGACTGCAGTCCAGCTTGCTGCCTATTTTACTGCGGGCTCATGGTCTCTCCCTGACGCGTGTGGGTCTGACCAAGGGATTGTATGCTCCATGGCTGTTAAAACTGGCATGGGCGCCACTGGTGGGCAGGCGGGGCTCCCCCCGCGTCTGGTTAACTCTCAGCACAGTGTCCCTGGGCGTGGTGTGTGGAATGCTGGCTGTGCTGCCTCCCCTGCAAGCTGGTCAGACAGGACTGCCCACCATCATGATGGGGCTGCTACTGCTGCTGAACCTGGGTGCAGCCGTGCAAGATGTGGCTCTGGACACACTCGCTGTGCAACTCCTGGAGCCAAAGGAGCTGGGACCCGGAAACACCGTCCAGGTGGTGGCCTACAAGCTGGGGTCAGCACTGGCTGGGGGTGGGCTGTTGGTCCTCTTCCCCACCCTCTCTTGGCCTTTGCTTTTCCTGCTCCTAGCTGCCACCTACTGGCTGGCTGCTGCCTTAGCCTGGACTGCACCAGCCTTGGGACAGCTGCCTTGGCCTCAGGTCTCAGAGCATACGCCCCACAAATCCTATCATCTACAAGATTTGCTGGCTGTGCCTGGAACCCTCTGGACAGCAGGCTTTGTGCTCACCTACAAGCTGGGTGAGTGCGGCTTTGAGTAAGACATCAACCTTGGAGCCCTAATTTCTTATGGCCCTGAGACCCACTTAGGGTATTGCCCTACTCTGGGTGTCAGCCCAGCCCTCCCTGGGGCTCTGTAGCTCAGTCTTGCCTCACTTCTGGACTCCCCTAGGCTTCAGGCACAGCCCACTGGTATTGCTTCAAACTAAGTGGGCCGGAACGCCCAGCCTTGTCTAACATGTGGGGGCCTGGCTGGTTGGGGAACTGAGGCCCCAGGACGGGAGAAAGGAGAAGGGGATCATGCTTGCTTCTGGTCTCCTGTAGGTGAGCAGGGTGCTGGCAGCCTGTTCCCACTTCTCCTGCTGGACCATGGCGCCTCCGCCTCAGACTTGGGAATGTGGAGTGGCTTGGGCGCTGTGACATGCTCCATTGCTGGCTCCTCTTTGGGCGGGGCTCTACTGGCCAGGCACTGGTAAGCACGCCCCAGCCCTAATCGGACTTTCATGTCCACTGCCTCCGAGGGAATCTTACCATATCCAGTCCCCCAATTCCCACCCCAGGCAACCTCTTTCCCTACTGAGGTCGGTGCTGCAGCTTCGCCTTGGGGGTTTGGCCTGCCAGACTGCTCTGCTCTTCTACCTCAGCACCCCAGGGGCCAGTCTGGCCCCGGGTACCATCACGAGAGGTAGGTGAGCTTTGAGGAGAGCAGGAGGGAGCAGAGCCTGGGGCCCCACTGACCTCGTTTCTTTAGGGGCAGCTCTGGTGAGCCTGTGTCTCCAGCAGTTCCTTGGCGGTGTGGTCACCACGGCCACGTTCACTGTCATGATGCACTGTAGCCAGTTGGCGCCCAGAGCCCTGCAGGTGAGATGGCAGCGCAAGGTGCCCTCGGGTGCAGGGCCAGGAAGCCACTAGGCCTGATGTGTGTTACCACCCCCAGGCCACGCACTACAGTCTCCTGGCCACTTTGGAACTGCTGGGCAAGCTGCTGCCAGGTGCCCTGGCTGGAGCGCTGGCCGATGGCCTGGGCGCGCACCTCTGCTATGCTGCCTTCCTCGCACTCTCAGGCCTGCCCATTCTGGACCTCAGCCTGGCACCCAGTAACCTGACCTGAGCTGTCCGCAAACTCAGAAGCGCCCTGTGTGTCCTGGGTGTCTGGAGCACAGGACATGTAGCTGTCTTCAAACTGAGGACTGTTACCAGAAAGGGCATAAAATGATTGAATGTTTTTTATTTTGTACTTTGGATCTTCTTGTCCCCTTCCTGCAACCTAGGAGGTTCTGCCTAATGGTCAGTGATGGCTACATCAGTGCCCTGGTGGGCAGACGAACCTGAGCCCTGTGTGGTGGCCACGTCTGGCCTGCCTCATGTCTCCATCGTGTAGCGCTCTCCCGTGGAGGGCGGTCACCGGCCTCTCAGCAGTTCTTCTGTGGCCAGGCGCATCACGGCATGGAAGTTCACATGCAGATACTTTCTCCAGAAGCGCTGGTCCTTCCCATATATCTGGGCTGGGTAGCAGGGACTTGCTATGATGGAACAGAAACACAGGCCTAAGGACTCAGCTGGCTCTAGTGCTCAACCCCTGCCTCCATCAGGCAGCCCTGCAGCCCTCACCGATGCCATGGAAGATGCGGGCCACAGCCCGTCCTGAAAACCTCTCCTCTGGCCTCAGGGACAGGAGCTGGTGGATATCACGGCGAATATGGTCCTCCCAGTCCTGAAGCTGTGGGAAGATGGCATGTGATCTCCTTTGAGCCCCCATGGCATTTGTCACATAAAATAACACCCCAAGCAGCCCAAGAAACCTTGAGCCAGGCAAGGCTTGAACTGTGTGGATTGTATATGGGTATGTCATTGTCCTTAGCTTGAGGAATCACCCTCATAGGGTGGCACCTACCTCGCTCTGCCCAGGCTCTGGACCCTGCTCATCCTTCACAGCTTCCTCTTCCTCTTCCTCAAAGTAGTGGCTGAGCAAGGTCTTTAACTGGTTGCTGCGATCCTCATCAGCCTGCTCTAGACAGGGTCCGCAGCTGGGAAAGGCCACACTGCGGATGAGACACACTTGTTAAGAGTGCCCATGAGGCCAGCGTGCATGGCCTAGGCCCTGCTACCTTCTTCCCACCTGCGAAAGGCCTTAGATATTTGGTGTAGATGGGCCAGGGCCTTGTGTTCACGAGTCTGTACACGGCTGTACAGGAAGTCGCAGATCTGGTCCTTCTCCTCATCTGTCAGGTCACCAGGACTGTGCACATGAAAGGCCAACTCGCTGAACTCCACCAGCACCCCTGTGCCCCGTGGTGCACCTGTCAGCAGGGGTCAGTCAGAGGCGGGCAGGCAGCTAGCACAAGCCAGGCTGGGGCAGGGACGGGCATACCTTTCTTTGGCTCCTGGTCCCACCGCAGCTGGTGGAGAGCCCGCCGTACAGAAGCCAGCTCCCAGCCCATCGAGTCTGCCAGCTCCACCATGTCAAAGTCTAAGGAGCTGCGGCCCCGACTCGTGTCTTTAGGTGGGTACTTGGCCAAACATGCAGCCAATGGGGGACACCTGTGCCCAGGAGACAAAGGAGCATGTGGCCGGCAGTCATGGTCTTTCTCTTTATCCTTAGTCTGAGGTGAGTACACTTACCTGTGGGCCAGAGCTTGCAGCTGAGCACTGCCCCCAGGGCAGCGTAGGTGACAGTGGGCATAAGTGCATGGCAGCAGCTTCAGCCAGCGCCGAGGGTGGAGTTCCAGATAGCACAGCAGAGTCTCAATAGCTGGAGGCAGAGGGAGGCTCAGGGGCTGTGGGGATAGTCTCCCCCTCCTGTACCCGATCTCCTTGGCTCCTTACCCTCCTCTGTCATGTCCAGAGCCTGTACTGTAGACTGCACTGGGAATGCCCGCGTGTGGCCCGGGCAGGCCTGTCGCAATGCAGGGTGTGTTTGTTGGCTGTCGCGCTCTTTGGTCTCCTCAAGCAGGGGTTTGGACATAGGCCTCTGGGTGCATGTGCAGGATGGAAATACACGTTGCACCAGCTTCTTCACAGCCAAGAAGTCAGTGCCATCGGCATGGGCATGTCTGCGCAGCTCCCAAAGGTCTTCACCCTGTATTGAGACAGTCATAAGCACACAGCTATAGTTTTGGGGCTAGAGTGGCAGCCACAAGTAAATCAGGAGACCAGCTGGGACCGAAGGGGCATGGTACAGGAATAGTGTAACCCTGGGTTTGGCGTGGTCTGGGAAGACAGGAGTGCCAACCTGGGGCTGCAGGAACAGGTGACAGTGGGCAGGCTTCCCATCACGTCCTGCACGGCCAATAGCTTGCACATAGCTCTCGAAGTTTGGAGGCAGTCCCAGGTGCAGCACGGCCCGGACATCTGGCCGGTCCAGCCCCATCCCAAAGGCTACCGTGGCCACCACCACCCGCAGGTGGCCCTGCATGAAGGCCTGTTGCACGCGTCGCCGTTCCTGGCTGCACATGCCAGCATGGTATGCTTCAGCTAGAGCCTCAGGGCCACAACCTATAGAGAAAGTGTACCAACGACTGGTGGGGTCACAGGCACGCGGAGGAAAGGGTCCCCAGGGGCCAGCCCTACACACGCCTACCTCTAGGCCTTGGCTCTGTCGCCATAGACAGGCGGGTCCGGAGGAGGGCGGCCACCCGTTCTGTATCTTTTCGTCGAGTACAGTAAATGATGACAGAGTCCAGGGCACAAAAGCGGTCACCTTGCAGCAGTGTCACCAGAGCCTGGCAACAAGGAGTTAGTATTAGCATGGCAGACCGCGGTCTCTTGAAGGGGTCTCTGGTCTGTACATAGCTACCTGGTCTGAGTCTCTGTCCATGGACACGGAGAGGTGCAGATTAGCAGGGATGCTGGCTAACCCACTGAGCTCCAGCTCTTCGGCTACGCCCAGGTGCTGGGCCACGTCACGGGCAGTGCTTCGTGTGGCTGTGGCTGTGAGGCCCAAAAGGCAGTGCACGCCCAGATGCTCCCGAAGTACCTGAGGCAGGCAGGGGTAGTGTTGAGTCACCTCGCACCCCTGAGCTCCAGCCCACCTGCCATCTGGAGCCCAACAAAAGCTCACTTTGCAAACACGCAGGTAGCAGGGCCGGAAGTTGTGTGACCACTGGGAGAGGCAGTGGACCTCGTCGATGCAGGCGAAGGCGATTGGAGGCAGTTCAGAGGCCTGGGGGAGGCTGGCAGGGCCCTTAGCCCCACACCCGACCAAGGCCTCTGGGGACACAAGCAGCACATGCACCTGGGCCGCCTTTACCTGAGGGGACAGGGTTATGGGCGCTGTCCAGATGGGTGCCCCCTACCACCCACCCGCAGGGGCCCTCCTGACCTTTTTCAAGACAGCTTCTCGTTGTTTTTTGGTCATACCCGAGTGGAGGCAGGCTGCCTTCAGACATGCGGGCAGGTCAGACACCTGTAAATGCAAGGCTGTCGCTAAATTCTCTCAGAGCTACTCAACCCTCTGCAGGGAAAAGCATCAAACGCTGGGTCCTGGGAGGACAAGATCAGAGCCAGCCAGCTATGGGCCTGGGCACCCTGGAGATAGGGGACTGGATGGAGACTACTGGGCATTAGGCTGTGCCACCCTTAGGAAGGTCAGCTGGCCCCTGGTGTGTGCAGGAAACAAGAAGCACCTAAGGGTATCAGAGGTGTCAGTTTTCAGACTCCCCAGGTAGCAGCAGCCTGCCCACATACCTGGTCATCCATGAGTGACAGGAGAGGGGAGACCACCAGGGTGAGGCAGGGGCTTCGCTGGGCATACAGCAGTGCTGGCAGCTGGTAGCACAGAGACTTGCCAGCGCCTGTGGGCAGCACTAACAGAGTGGAGATGCCTGGACGGGACAGGAGGCAGCTTATGAGGCTCAATCAGCCAGACACAGCCTGGTGCAGTCCCTGGGCAGCCACACCTACCTGAGAGAATCCGCATGATTGCCTGTTCTTGTCCAGGGCGGAACGCTTGGTGCCCCAGCTGCTGCAGGGCCTGGAATACCTCAGCAGGGGTCTCTGTGGATAGAGTTGTGGTTTCGATGAGAAGAGCCCCTGTAGGCTCATACATGTGTATGCTGAGTCCCCATTTGGGGAACTGTTTGGGAAGAATTAGGAGGTGTGGCCTTGTTAGAAGTGTGTCACTGGGGGTGGCCAGGTACAGTGTCTTTCTCCGCCTGTCCACCAGGGTGTAAAGTCTCAGGTACTTCTCCACCACCATGCCTGCCTTTCTGCTTCCCACCATCAGAGGCTGTGGTCACGGTGCCCCTTCACAGCAATAAACAGTGACTAAGACATGTGTTGGTGCCAGGCGTTGGTGGCACACGCCTTTAATCCCAGCACTCGGGAGGCAGAGGCAGGCGGATCTCTGTGAGTTCGAGGCCAGCCTGGTCTACAAGAGCTAGTTCCAGGACAGCTTCCAAAGTCACAGAGAAACCCTGCCTGGAAAAACCAAACAAAAGCTATGTGTTGGTAAAGACCCCGGGGCTTAAATTTCACTCACCTGTTGTATGCCCCAAGGGCCCCGGGGGGTAGAGGGGCGGCACTGGGCGGGGAGGACAGGGGACTTGCAGCTTTGGCCCATCAGGGTCTGTGTCCTGACCTGCTTAGACGCGAGAGCGGGTGACGTGGGAGTGTCAGGACAGAGACCGCCCTGGCACAATGGCCACTGGTCACGCCCACCCATCTCCCTGGCTCACCAGGCAGGTGACAGGAAGGAGTGCCTGCCATCTGTGCTTCTTCTTCCAAAGTGGGAACGGGCCGTTTGTCATCCCTGCCACTGTCTTCCTGGAAGGTCCGGGTGGAGCCTGGGCCAGGGTTAAGATCATTGCGTGTGCGTAAGTAATTCCCTACCACCTCCACCCCCCAGCGGCTAAATGATCCAGTGCTCACGGCGGAGGCTCACCTGCCTGGGGGCACTGGGAAGCCCAGTGACCACACTGCCCACACCGGAAACAGGCGTCCTGGGCTTCGGCTCCGGCTCTGCCGCCCCCAAACTGCCCCGCTTTCTTCCGCCACTTCTGCCTCCACACCTGGGGAAGGCCCACAAAGACTGTTCGAGAGGGAGATGACAAGACAGGAAAGGCCGGCCTGTCCCATTCGCCACATCTCTCTCACCTGCTTCCGGAGAAGCCTGCCTCGACTGGCGCCAACTCGTACATAGCACTTGTGTTTCATGTTGAGTCGGATGTAGTTCCCTCTGTCCAGGAAAGCGGGTCTAGTGGAGGCGTGGGCTTTGTCCTTGGCCGTCTCTGTCCTGGCCCTCTTGGAGGAGTTGTGGGGCCGGGGCGCGCTCGCAGCTTCTCCTGGAGGGTCTTTCTCATGTGCGCTAGCCCGGGCTCCCTCAGACAGCAGTCCTGCTTGGCCACTGTCCTGGGCTTGTGCACGGTCCTCCGAACTCTCATTCCGCGTCCATTTCCTGTCTGTCTTGTTGCTGGGTTTGGGGCTCTGTGGCTGTGTGGCTAGGCCCCCTGGGCTCTGTGAAGACCCTTCTGAACGGGTACCAGGATCAAGGACATTCACCTTGCCTGATATCTGGGGCTGTGACTCCTTTCCATCCAGGTCAAGCCCACAGGCACTGGGGACCTCTAGAAGGTCTGAAACTCTGTCTTGACATCGCTCTAACCAGCCAGGATCTAGGGAACTCAGCCTCAGACTCAGGGATGCCTGAAGCTGCTGGAGATGGCCTAGCCGTGGCTGGGGCTCAGCAACCCTGGGAAGTACATCATTAGTTTCGTCTGGACAGGTCCTTGGGCCTGGGGGCCTTGGGGTGGGCACGGTGGACAAGGCTCTCTTCCGAGGCTGGCATTTTCGGCTCAGGGCTGGCCTAGTCTAGGTTGGGGAAGACAGAAGATCAGGTAGGACCTCGGGATCCCGGGCTACTGCCTAAGTTTGGAACACACAGGAAGCTGAGGGTGAGGTGCCCACGAGTCCTCAGCAGCGTAGCCTCCCTCAGGCTGGGACCTGTGCCTGTGTGTGCACGCTGTAGGAGGGTGGGCACACACGGGCCCTGCAGACTACCCGCAGCCACAGGCAGCTCGGGCGTCACCCACACTTCTTACCTGCAGCTTTGCTGTTTTCGGGTTGCTTTCCAGATTGGCTTTGAGCCTCTTCCCATAGTCCTGTACTGAACCCAGTGGGCCCTGCCTGGGCGTAGGCTGTGTATTCTGGGTTGCGGCTCGATTCAGGTGGGGACCCCAGCAGCTTGGTTCCTGTGCCTGCAGTGACAGCAGCGGCCTAGATCAGGTTACAAGACGGCATGGGCACCGAAGTGCTCCAAAGCTTCCTCTTAACCCCCATGGGAGGACCTGGCCACCCAATCCTGTGCTCCAGGGCGCATGGCTGCAACAGCTGTAGGCTCCTGCCATCTGACCACACAGAACGCTGACGGGGATCAAGGGTGAGCATACCTCCTCAGCTGTCTCGGCGAGAGACTGCTCCAGGCTGCGGTGTCCGTCGCCGGCCTGGCGCGCTGCATGCTTCAGGTTGCGGTACTCACGGTAGAGCGCTGGGAAGGCAGGGGTCGGGGGTCAGGGCACACCTACTAGCGTTAGCCCGGTCCCAGGCCCGCAGCCCAGCGCTCACCGCGCGTGTCCTCAGGGGCCGCCTCCACGTCCTCCTACGAGAGAAGCTCGTCAGCCACGGCCGGCGCCTGGGACCCACTCACCGCCCTGCCCGCCCCACCCTACCTCACCCGCGCTGGCCGTCTCCCGTGCAGCCGCGCGAAAGCGCGTTCCCACTCCTGCAGCCGCGCGCGAACGCTCGCCAGTCTTTCCATGGCACCCGGGAGCCGAGGCGAGGGAATCTCCCGCCACCTCGGGGAAGTCTCGGTCTCAGCCAATGGGAGCTGGCGGCGGGCGTGACGTCATCGCGGCGCGCCACGGTGCTGCGCGGCGCTGGGCGAGCCTAGCGCAGGGGCCGGAGGCTTTGGTGGTAGGGGCGGGTGAGTTGGGGCGGCTGGGCTGGGATCCGAGCCGGGCGAAGAGTCCGCAGCCGTAAGGGTCAGGGCGCTTGGGCGTCCGGATCGACGAGGGATGGCGCTTTAAGGCCCCGGCGGCAACGGATTCTCGGGAGGGGCCGCTGCGCGGGGATGGGCCCGGGTGAGCCCCGCAACTGCAGGGCGACCTAGGGGCAGGTGAGGATGTGCTGGACCTGCAGGGACATGCTCGCCCGTGTCAGTTGAGGTTCCGGACTGGGTTCTTGAAGGATCCGGGCGTGCATGTCTGCGTGTCTCATCACAGAGACTGCTGTCTTCTGCGTGCGGCGTTATCCCCAGAAGTAATCCTTGCTTGGAGGCCGGGCCGGGGGCTTTCCTCTTATGACAGGTGTTGCGATCCGGTCATCCTGACAGCGAGGCAGTCCTTGCGAGATTACCGTTAGGTAGAGTCAGATCGACGATAGTCATCCCGGGTTTCCCAGGGACTTGTGCCGTAAGGGCTGTTCAAGGTGTGAGAAGTAAGCAAACCCCGGGTTCTGCAACCTTTCTGCTCCTTTCCCTTTGTCCCGTGCTGTAACTTTAGGCAAGGCATAGGCCTTAGTTTTCCAGTCCGTTGCAGGGAGAGGGCAGTGGTGTGGTTCTGAGGGCAAGGTGTTTGGCCCCCAGAAGTATACTGGCCCTGTGCATCAGGAATCCTTTAGCTTTAGGGGTCTTTTGTATGCGGTTTCTAAGCTGGAATGCTCTGACCGTCTCTGGCCGGGGTCTTTGTGAAGCCCGTGAATTTGCTGGCGTCTCTGTACAGTGGTTTCTCAGTGGAGAGGATTCTCGAACAGGAGGCAAGGACCTCAGAGGGTGAGAGTTACTTTTCCTCGGGGATTTCTGTGCCTAGTTATACCCTAGAAAACTGTTACCTGCGGAGTTCATACTAAACGCTCTTGATCTCATAGGCTGCTCAGCCAGCATCAAGTGCTCAGGATGCTCTTTAGCAAAACTAACCCCGGCACTTGTAAACCATGCTTAGATTTCCCTAAGTCCAGGGGCACAGCGTGTGGAGGGTTAGGCTGTGGCTACTGGCTTTGTGGGAATTCTCCACCTGTTCTTGTACTGACGGGAAGACAGGCCTGTAGTTTCTTGTACTTGAAAAATATTTACTTTGCCCTGGTTGTGTATGTCTGTGTCTGAGTGTGTGTGCGTGCACCATGTGCATGCTGGAGCCCTCTGACGTCAGGAAAGGGCATCTGCATCAGATCCCTTGGGCCTGGAGGTTTAGGTGGCTGTGGCGCACCATGTGGGCTCTGGACACCAAACCTGGGTCCTTTGCAAGATCAGCAAACACTCTTTCACTCTTTCACCACTGAGCCCCTTCTCCACCTTCCGTCTTACAGACAAAGCCCAGACCTGTTAGAACTCAAGGATTGGGCCAGCCAGCCAGGGAGCTCCACGGTCTTTCTCTCCTCCGCTGACCCCAGTGCTGGGTTTACAGAGTTGAGTCACCCATACCCCTTTTCTATATAGGTTCTGAGATCTCTGAAGTCAGGTGCTCACTTTTGTTTGGCAAGCACCATATAGAAAGGCATCCCTAGTCCCTTGTTTTCCTTTCCTTTTTTTTTTTGGTTTTTCGAGACAGGGTTTCCCAGGCTGGCCTCGAACTCACAGAGATCCACCTGCCTCTGCCTCCCGAGTGCTGGGATTAAAGGTGTGTACCACCAACGCCTGGCTCCTTATTTTACTTTTGAGGAAGGGTCTCTGAGTCATATTTGTGACTCAGCAGATACAAATAAACAAGCAGATTTTTGATAGGCCTGCACTGTTCTTGTTCTGCTGGGCAGTTTGGTTTCCCTGTGCCTCTGGGGGTATGAACTTGTGTCCTGTCCACTCTGCATAGCTCTAAGAACTTGCTAGATTACCCCTGCCAGGTGTGATGGCCTGAGTTTGTAATCCCAGAAGAGGCAGAAGGATTGCCGCAAGCCAAACAAAGAAGGGTGGTTCCTTTGTGCAACTCTTCTCCACCAACTGGCAGCCCATGATGGGCTTCTGTGCCAGGCATAATTTGGAGAGGGTGTGGCCCAATACTGGCTCAGGGTTTGTGTCTCCTAACGCAGATCCCTCTCCTGCAGGTGGCCTTGTGCCCAGGCCAGCACCATGCACACACTTGTGTTCCTCAGCACACGGCAGGTGCTCCAGTGCCAGCCGGCAGCCTGCCAGGCCCTGCCCCTGCTGCCCCGAGAGCTCTTCCCCCTGCTGTTCAAGGTGGCCTTCATGGACAAGAAGACGGCCGTGCTTCGTGAGCTGGTGCACACATGGCCCTTCCCGCTGCTCAGTTTCCAGCAGCTGCTGCAGGAGCGTGCCCATTGCAGTCGGGCCTTGCAGGAGCGGCTCAGCACGGAAAGCATGCAGGCCGTGATCCTGGGCTTGACTGCCCGGCTTCACACGTCAGAAAGGGAGGCTGCCACACAACCCTTCTGCAGGTATGCAAAGTGTATTCACCGAGTTGACCCCAGGCTGTGGTCCTGAGGTTAAAAGGAGCTTGGTGTGGGAGTAGGCATATTTGTTGCTTCTGTACAAGGTGGCTGGGAGGGACGTAGGCCTTGACCCCCTCATTCCTGCCTCTGGCCATCCTTGCTCCCAGGAAGCATGCATTGCGGGTGCTAGACATGACTGGTCTCCTGGATGACGGCGTGGACCAGGACCCTGGAACCATGAGTATGTGGGATTGCACAGCTGCTGTGGCCAGAACGTGTATTGCCCAGCAGCAGGGTGGGCCTGCCGAGCCAGGGCTGTCACTGCCGGTCCCTGTGGAAGTTCGTGTAGACCTGCGGGTCAACCGGGCCTCCTACACATTCCTTCGTGAGGCACTCCAGAGTAGCATGGACAGCCCACTGCGGCTTTGCTGCCGGGACCTCCGGGCTGAGGATCTGCCCATGCACAACACTGTGGCCCTCCTGCAGCTTCTAGATGCAGGCTGTCTGCGCCGGATAGACCTGCGCTTCAATAATCTGGGACTGCGTGGCCTGTCTGTCATCATCCCACATGTGGCCCGCTTTCAGCACCTAGCTAGCCTGAGGCTGCACTACGTGCATGGGGACTCAAGGCAGCCTTCTGTGGATGGCGAGGACAACTTCCGTTACTTTCTGGCCCAGATGGGTCGCTTTATCTGTCTGCGGGAGCTCAGCATGGGCTCTTCTCTCCTTTCGGGCAGGCTGGACCAACTGCTCAGGTGAGTGGCTTCTGCCATTGCTCTGTCCCTTCTCTGTGTGAGGACTCCCCTTGGCCTGCCTGCCCGTGACTTTCTGTAACTCCTTTGTCCCCGCAGCGCCCTGCAGAGCCCCCTGGAAAGCCTAGAGCTGGCCTTCTGTGCACTGTTGCCCGAGGACCTACACTTCTTGGCTCAGAGCCGTCACGCTGCCCACCTCAAGAAGCTGGATTTGAGTGGCAACGACTTGTCAGGCAGCCGGCTGATGCCCTTGCAGGGTCTGCTGCAGGCAGCTGCAGCCACATTGCTGCATCTTGAGCTGACTGAGTGTCAACTGGCTGACGCCCAGCTGCTGGCCACACTGCCCACCCTAACTCGATGTGCCAGCCTTCGCTACCTTGGTCTCTATGGCAACCCTTTGTCTATGGCAGGACTTAAAGAGCTGCTTCGGGACTCTGTGGTTCAGGCTGAGCTACGCACTGTGGTGCACCCCTTCCCTGTGGATTGCTATGAGGGCCTTCCTTGGCCGCCACCTGCCTCTGTCCTTCTGGAAGCCTCCATCAATGAGGAGAAGTTTGCCTGTGTAGAGGCTGAGTTGCACCAGCTGCTGTTAGCTGCAGGCCGCGCCCATGTGCTCTGGACCACGGACATCTATGGGCGCCTGGCTGCAGACTATTTCAGTCTCTGATCTCCAAGGCATTGATGAGAGACACTCCAAGAGCCTTTGGGACTCTGCTGGAGGCCTGGCACAAAGGCTTTCTTAGGTTGTATGCGATTTGCCTTGCTCCTGGCCATACCTCGACTCCCGGGTGTACCGTGACTCCTGGGTGTACTGTGACTCCCGGGTGTACCGTGACTCCGGGGTGTACCTCGAGTCCCGATTGTACCTCAAGTCCCGGGTGTACCTCGACTCCCGGGTGTACCATGACTCCCGGATGTATCTCGACTCCCGGGTGTACTGTGACTCTGGGGTGTACCTCGACTCCCGGGTGTACCATGACTCCCGGATATACCTCGACTCCCGGGTGTACTGTGACTCTGGGGTGTACCTCGACTCCCGGGTGTACCTCGAGTCACCTACTTTCTGCAGTACCCTCGCCTGCTCCCAGTATCTGACTGTTGGTGTCTCAGGACTCCCCCTGCTCTGTACGGCCGCCGTTGGTTGCTCTTCTGGGTCGCAGCCTCTGCAGCAGTCCCTGGCACACTCCATGCCCTTAGAAGGAGTGCAGTGCACTGGGGTCGATGCTATGATCTGCTTCGGGGAGTCCCCCACGCGGCCTGGGGCCCTCGGCTGTGCATCTTGACCTGTCTCTGTAGGGTGTGAGCAAGGTACGAATGTGCAGTGTCCGGAACTTGAATCTATGGGCCTTTTTTGGTGTGTGTGTGTGTGTGTCCTAATTGGATGGGAAAGACTTGCCTACATTTTTGGTGTTGCCAAGTATGATCCAAGCTGACCCGGTTCCTCACTAGGTTATCCCATTATTCCTACCGTCCAGAGCCAGAGTGGATCGCCAGAGCTGGCAGCTGGGGACGCCTAATCTGTGGCCCGGTCACTCATAGACCCACAGTTACCGACCCACCACTCAGCATTGTAGAGCAGTTCCAACTTTACTAATGAGCATGTGCGGGCGGCACTGGCCAATTCCCGGTGTCCACGTCATTGACACGCACGGCAGGCTTAGCAATGGATCTCATAGGCAACACGTGGAGGGAGGCGTAGCCCAGACATGAGTCCTTCGGGAGGGTTTTGTTCCGCCGGCTCCTCAGGCGGCACCTCTGCAAACAGAGGCTTGGAACGGTCGATGACGAACATCTCGTGTCCGCGCTCATCACGGAGTTCCTCGAGCTGCGCGAAGGTGCAAGGCCCGTCTGAATAGTCGTTGACGAACAGTGTGCCTTCCCCCGGTGGCACAGGCACCTTTTTCCGCCGACGCCGGCGTCGGCAGATCATGGCGGCCAAGAGCAGCGCAGTGAGCGCCAGCAGCGCGATGGCTGCTGCAATCGCCGTCTGCGTTGCTAGGCCCAGGGCGCGGAAGGCCATGCTGCCTGCCTGGTGCCGGGGCTCATGTCCCACAGGGCGTGCAGCCGGGGCCTGCGGGGCCGGTGTCTGCTGTGACTGCTGCCGGGATCCGTTGACCAGGAGATGAAAGGGCACACGCGCTTTGCCACCAGCATTGGTGGCCTCACATTCATATTTGCCCGCGTGAGCTAGTGTGATGTTTGTGAGGAACAGCATGCCGCTGCCGGTGTCACGGGTCGCATGCCCACCCAGGCCTGGTGCTCCAGCTTCCAGCTGGGCTTGGGCTTGAGGCTTGCCATCGCGAGGCTGGGGCACCTTTCTCCAGACCACCAGGGGCTGTGGGTATCCTGACGCCTGACAGGCTACCTGCAGGTCCTCCCCCAAGTTAGCTGTGAGCTCCGCGGGCTCCACGCTCACAGAGGGAGGAATGCAGATGAGGCTACCACCAGATACTTCTAGTAGATTCTGTAGCGCCAGGCGTGGGGGCTCAGCACATGTGATCTTCTTGTCTCTGGAGCTCAGCAGCCGCCGGCCCCCCTCTTTGATCCAAGAGCCCAGCCAGTGAAGGGCACAATCGCAACGCCATGGGTTCTCTGTGTAGGGCAGAGTACAGCCTAGGTCGACGGGGTCCTGCTGCTCTAGACAGAAGCCCTTTCCCACCTTTCACAGATGCCTATGGGGCCCCGGAACCCTTCCCACCTCCTCCCTCAGTCCAGGTTGCTAGGAGTGTGAGATCCCAGTTCCTGAGAGAGCGCCAGCGTCTCTGAAGTCCCCTTGCCAGCCTCCAGTCCTCCCATGTCCTGGCAGCACCGAAACCCTGCTGCCAAAGGTGCTCTCCAGTTTTTCCTGCCTGCCCTCCGAGGACCAGCTGCAAGACCTCAGTCCCGTTAAGTCACGCTGTGGAACTAGTAACTCCTCATAAGGTGCGTGAACTGTTACTCTACCAGCACTTCCTGGTGGTCCCACACCAGGGCTGGCGGTTCTGGTGTGACTCTGCAGAGCATGCCATGGACTGCCATAGTGGAGCAAGACAGAGAGGAAGGCAAATCTCCATAGACTCTGGTTGGAGCTTCTCACCAAGTGAGACTCAAGGATTACAGCAGAATTAATTAACATTTTCCTTGAAGATTGTCAACATAACCATATTCCTTTTAAATATAGAGGAATGTTAAAATAGTAGTGCTTAAAGCCTAAGCATATATAAATATGATCTTCAAGAATGACCTAACTCGCCGGGTGTTGGTAGCGCACGCCTTTAATCCCAGCACTCGGGAGGCAGAGGCAGGAGGATCTCTGTGAGTTCGAGACCAGCCTGGACTACTGGACTACCAATCGAGTTCCAGGACAGCCTCCAAAAGCCACAGAGAAACCCTGTCTCGAAAAACCAAAAAAAAAAAAAAAAAAAAAAAGAATGACCTAACTCCTTTTGTAGGTGATTTCTGGGGTAATCAGAAGACTAAACCTTGTTTACAGTTAAGGGCATCTTCCCTTACTACCATGTTTCCTAGGGATTTATGTGCACTATCCATTGTAACCCATCCAGCACAGAGGGACAGTCTCACTGAAAACTTGTTTGTTTGTTTTTCAAGACAGGCTCTCTCTGTGTAGCCCTGGCTGTAGCCTTGAACTCAGAGATTCTCCTGCATGTGTCTTGTGAGTGCTGGGACTAAAGCTCACTTAGGTCCTTTATTGTTTGAGACGCACTTTCTGAAGCTCTTTCCCCCACAGCGCCTGTCTCAGGCTTTACACCCGTGTTAAGGACAGGTTAAGGACGTTACACCCATGTTTACATCCCCTTTAGAAACCCCGGCTCTGTGGCATCTCGGCTCATTCTGGAACCCTGCTGCAGTGATGTGGAGGAGCTGCCTGGGTCAGGTCTGTAGAAAATTACGAGAACCCCAGGTTGATGTGGCACAGTGGGCCACAGCCTCTCTTCCTGCCATGAACTGCCAGTAGTAGAAACCTGTGTTTACCTCAGCCTGCTTCTCCCTACTGGTGCAAGATGAGACCCTTGCCAAAGGAGAAGTTACCTGTGAGGCGCAGGACTTGCAGGCTGGTCAGGGGCTGCAGGGCCTCTCTGCTGATGGTGCCCAGTTGGTTCCTGCTGAGGTCCAGCAGGGCTAAGGAGGAAAGCCCAGCCAGAGCCTGGTCCTCCAGTAATTCAATGCTGTTTTCTTGAAGATGCAGCTCCTGAAGTCGCTGAAGTAGGAACAGCAGATCATCAGGAAGGAGGACCCTGGGAAGCTAGACAATATTGACTTCCCCACCCCCCAACCTCTGCAGTTTTTTTGTTTTTTTTTTTTTGAGACAGGGTTTCTCTGTATTGTTTTGGAGGCTGTCCTGGAACTCACTCTGTAGACCAGGGCGGCCTCGAACTCACAGAGATCCGCCTGCTTCTGCCTCCCGAGTGCTGGGAGTGCGCCACCACCGCCCGGCTTGTAGGGTAGTTATTGACATCACAGCAAGATCCCTCACTTTTGGCAATTGTCGCTCACCGGCAGGTGCAAGAAGGTGAAATCCAACAGCTTCGCCAGCTGGTTTCCAGCCAGGTAAAGCACACGTAGCTGGACCAAGCCCACAAATGCACCGCCACGCAATCCCCGAAGCCGGTTGCCAGTGAGCGCCAGTTCAAGCAGGCGGGGCTGCGCACGGAAGGCGCCCGACTCCAGTGCCCGCAGGGTATTGTTATGCAAGTAGAGGTGGCGCAGGGCAGCGAGTGGCGCCAGGGCGCCTTGCTCCAGGTGCGCGATGCTGTTGTCTTGCAGGAACAGCGTCTGAAGATGGGGGGACCAGAGGATTACTTCACCGTGGGGCAGGTCCCAGTCCCATGCAGCGCCCCGTCCCACCTGCCGGTAAACCTCTGCACCCTCGTGACCTTCCACCACACCTCTGGTGCTCACCAATCTCTTCCATGCCACGCGTGCCCACTACTCCAACCCAAGACCCTCCAGTCCCACGTAGTGCCCACCTGCGTCCCTGGGGGGATTCCCGGCGGGACGACACGCAGCCGTAGGGCGCCGCACTCCACTGTGGCACTGTAGCAGCGGCAGGCGGCGGGACAGCCAGTGGCGTGGGGCGGGAGTCCGGGCAGCAGCGGCAGCAACAGCAACCCCAACAGTAGCGGCAGCAGTGGGGGCGCCCCTGGGGCCATTTCCGAAGAGCCCCACCAGGAAGCTGTGGCTTCCCCAAGGGCTGGACCCGTTCGGGATGCGGCTCCTGAAACAGGTTAGCAGGCCAGCGCATGAGCAGACATCCTGGGTCATGTTCTTAATCCTAACGCGGGAGGCTGACGCTACAGGATCGCTGTAAATTAGGCCTAGGCAATATGGTTCAGACTGGACTGTAGTGAGGCTTTGTCTCAAAATACAAAACAAATTAAGAAACAACTAACACAGATGGAAGTCTACACACAACCCCTGTGTAACTTTTACAAACGGCACTCAGGAGACAAAGGAAGGTGGATTTCTGTGAGTTGAGGCCAGAAAGGTGTTCGCACAATTCATTCCAGGCCAGTCAAGGCTCCCTAGTGAGACACTTAAAAAAAAAAAGCCTAATTTCTTCCCTTGGTAAAGGCAGGCAAGATGCTATACAAGTAAAGGCACTTGCCTGGCAACGGGGGGAGGAAGGGGACTGATGCCACAGAGGTGTGTTAGACCTCCATGGGCATGAGTGCCCCAACCCTGACTCATGTGCCCAAAACGATATCTTTTTTTTTTGAGACAGGGTTTCTCTGTGACTTTGGAGGCTGTCCTGGAACTCACTCTGTAGACCAGGCTGGTCTCAAACTCACAGAGATCCACCTGCCTCTGCCTCCCAAGTGCTGGGATTAAAGGCAGGCGCCACCACCGCCCAGCTAAAATAATATTTTTTAGAATGAAAACAAAACAAAAATCTTCCCTTGAGGGTCCCTACCTAGTCCTAGTGTTCTTCCTGCACCTGCACTAAGAGCGTCCTGCTATTCGATGGTATAACACAGGCTCATTTTCACCCAAATGATGGGCTCTCTTTGGTTCCCAGATGCAACAGTACATAATCTAGGCTTAGGAACTGCCTACGTTGGCAAAGTCCGGGTCCAGTTACCCAGTCCTGGGCCAAAAAGAGCATGTCTCACTCTGTGGGTAGTGGCATGAGCAGAAACCTTTGTGCCCCGTCACAAGAGCATGGGGCCCCATGTTTACCCACATGGCCCCACCCATGGCTTTTGTCACGATTTGAGGGGGATGCTTGGTCCATCCATGACCCACCATTGTAGGGTTTGAGGTGGGTAGAGAGCTTACTTAAATAAGAATTTTTCCTCAGGTAACTCAACCTTCTTATTTCCTTTTAAATAGGGCCTACTGTGTTTCTCTCTTGGCCTGGACTTGATTATGTGGACCACAATGGCTTCAAAACCCAGAGGTCTTTCTGTGTTTGACTCTGAGTGGTGAGATTAAAGGCCTGTGTGGCCATGCCTAGCGTACGTCCAATGTTTTCTTTTTCAGAAGTGTTTTCACTTGGACTCCCTTGTTTTATGGGCATGAGTGTTTTGCCTGTGTGCATGTCATGTGCATGTGTGTGCATGTCATGCACGCCTACTGCTCTCTAGTCAGAAGGGCATCCGATCTCCTGCAACTGGAGTTAGCATGGTTGTGAGCCAGCATGTGGGTACTAGGATTCAAACCTGGGTCCTCTGGAAGAGCAGCCAGAGCCCTTAACCACCACCATCCCCTTGACACAGGTTCTTTCTCCCTGTGGCCCTGACTTGTCTTAGAACTCTCTATGTAGACCAGGCTGGTCTCGAACTCACAGAGATCCGCCTGCCTCTGCCTCTCGAGTGCTGGGATTGAAGACCTGAGCCACCACACCTGGCTGTTACTTCTGATTTCTTTGAGTTGGGGTCTTGCTATGTAGCCATATGTAGCGATACTTGAACTTGAGACACCACTGCTCATTCCTAAGTGGCAAGGTTACAGGTGCGCACCGTCACACCTACCTTTCTCGGGATTTTTTTTTTTTTTACAGAGCTGAGGATTAAGACAAACAGGAAAACCAGTTCAGAGGCCAAAAGCCTATGCCCTCCTACCCACACCAGTCTGGCCCCAAGAGGTCTTTATCTCTGAGGTAGATGGTGTGTGTCCTGGCTGGGATGTGGCAGGAAGTCTCAGGCCACCAACTGCCCCCCCTACTGGGAAGTGACTTCAGTGTGTCTTGTACACTAAGCACAGGCTTAAGCACACAATACACCACCGAGCTACATGCCTACTACATACCAACTAGGTGTCTAGCTTCCTAAGCAGAGGACAGGGGCAAGGCTCCACTGTTTTCCTCACTTGGCACAGTCTTCCCCTTGACACCTGCTAAGTTACCAGGTCTCTGCTGTGTGTCAAGCTGAGCCGCACTAAGTGGCCTTGGTGTTTGTTTCAGTTTGTACCAACTGGAGTCACATGATCATTTAAAGTCAAGAGATGAGGCAGCAGCACAGCAGTAAAGTTTTAATGGAATAACTTTGGCACAGGCAAAGGCAGTTCCTAGAGATTTCAGGACGTGTGGAGCCCCAAGAAACCGGGGCGTTTGCTAGGCTTCTGGGTTTAATTTCCCGGAGCATGAATGACTGGTTGGTCCCTGGCTCCCGGCCTGGTGCATCTGGGCAGCCTTCAGTAGCGAAGCCTTGGTCTGTGTATTAGGGATCAGAGCTGCTGCTCACGCAGTCGCCCAGATGTGCACCAGTGCAAGACAGCCATGACAGGAATGAGGGCCCCTTACTAGGTGAGCCCAGAAATCCTTTCATCAGGACATGAACCCCTAACCCTAGGCAGGAGTGGGGCGTCAGTCTCCTGGGGCTCACCCAGGAGGGAAGAGGGTGGGTGTCCTCCCTCTGCGCAGCGCGAAGCCCCAGCTGGTGTCCTGCAGTCCTGGCGACCAGGCGCTTTAAACCCTAGCCTCCCCCTCAGCCTCCAGTGGGTCGGAGCCTGCTCATAGAGGGCGTGGCTTCCATCCCCTCCCCGCTGCCACATCTCCTGACCTTTCCTTGGTGCTAAAGTCGGAACCTGAAGGGTCCCGATCCCACCCCCAAGCCTGGTGACCTTGGGCCAGGATCCCCCTCACCTGCTCCAGCGGCGAGCGACTCCCCGCGGCGCTTGCGGCTGCAAGACTGGAGAAGCGGCGGGGGGCGGGGGTGGGCGCGCACGCGCACCGGCCCACGCGCGCCTTGCGACTGCCGCTCAGCCTGACGTGACCGGCGCAGGCCAATCCGTGGGATGCAAGGCCGGTGTAAGAGTTAGAGGTGGCGAAGAGGACTCATGTAGGGACCGAGGATAAGCACGGCCGCACCAGAACCTTGGACAGCGCCAACCTAACGAGGCCCAAGGCGCACCTCTGCGCACACGCGCACTCAGTCACCGGCGTGCAGGGGACAGGGGACAATCTGGGTCGACCTGCAGTGCTGGCAGCGAGGGGTAACCTGCGAGTGCTACAAAGCCCGGTGTTTGCCCTAACCCTCCCCCCACAGCCCCGGCCGGAAGCTCAGGGCGGCGGGGCGGCGGGCAGCAGTGGGGCCAGATCCATAGTTAGGGCGACGCGGCGACCCTGCCAGCGCACGTGAGAGGGGACCACGGGCGAGCCAGGCCCATACTCGAAGCCGGCGCTGAGCTCGAAGGCCAGGGCCGAGCGCACTAGGCCCACGCCGCCTGCGCTGGCCGGCGCCGGGTGGTACAGGCGCCCGTTGGCCGCCAGGGGTAGCAGGCGAGCCGGCTCGAAGGGAACGGCCAGCGCCGCGCCGCCGCCGCAGTAGGAGAGCCGAGGCGACTCGCTGTCGCTGGCCAGCAGGTGCGTGAAGACCACGGGCCGGTCTTCGCAGCGCAGGAAGTTACGCTCTCGGCCGCACAGCGACAGGAAGGGGAAGGAGGCCTCGTAGCGCCCGCTGTGGTTAGGTCGCAGACGGGAGAAGAAAGTGACCAGGAACTGCAGGTCTGTGGGGACAAACGCTCGGTGACCAAGCGTCCCGGACGGACAGGCGCCTCTTCCCGGGCACACCAGCCTGGCGGCCTTGAAGGGCCGAGAGAGGCACGAGGAGCAGCGCAGCAAGCAATACCTTTGAAGCAGGTGATAAAGTTCTTCATTTTGGAGTCATCCAGGAAAAGCTGCAGACAGAAGGGACAGACAGGGGGCAGTAGCGAGGGAGCGCGGAGCCCGGTGTTGTGTGGCTGTGTTCACGGGGGCACGGACACTGCGCAGGCTCCCAGCGCCGCCGCCCCGCTCGCCCTCTCCGAAGCGGGCCGACCGCCGTCCCCAGCGTCGCGGGCGCGCAGCTCCGGGATGGGTGCCACGGGCGGCCCCGGGGCCTTCCCGCTCCCAGCCTGGGCTTTGGAATTGGGTTCACACGTGGCACTGCCCTGGGCTTCATCCCTAGACCCCTTCCCCGCCCGGGGCCGACTCCGCAGCTCCCTGGGGCGCCTCCCTGGGGCGCACACCTGGCCCTGGTGATCCACGTAGTAGAAATACTCGCGGGTCCTGGGCTCCGGGCTTTGGCCCTGTGTGTAGGAGACACGTTCATCCCCACTGTGTGCCCGAGCTCGCTGCGACCTCGCCAAAGCCAGAACCAAGTTACGCAGTGACCTGCGAGGCGGCCACATCCTTCCACGCCGGAAACAGGTCACATAGACTGCGCAGCGCCGGGCGCTTTGGGTTCCGACGGCGGCACGTGTTCTGGGGGCGGGGCTTCATGTCCCGCCCCGGAAAGAGCCCCGCTGTGCGACAACCCCCCCCGTGTCCTAAGTCACCCGAGGCACAGGCAACCAGAGTGTGCACTTGAACTTTATTCACACGGAGCGCTGTCGCCTCTGTCCAAGGGAGGGAGCGCCTGCGGCCGCCGCCCAAGTTGTCTAGGACTCGCCCCATGGGACCGCGGGCCTCGGCAGAGCGGGACTTTCGTTTTTAATAAATAAAAACAACTCTAAAAATATATTTATATATGCATATATATAAACAGGGGAAATGAAGTTTGACAACTGTTGGAACTCAGATTCCAGAATGGAAAACGCGGACGAGCCCAGGTCCCATCCGCACGCTGACGGGTGTAGTTTGGTCGGAGGCCGCAAGGTCACAGGGTGGTGCTCACTTGCTCAGCGCTGGGCCGCAATGGCAGTTCAAGAGATAAATAGCATCTGGTTAAAACTATGTCCTTAGCAAACTTAGTTCTGACATCTCGTTCTATTTATATCTTTATACACAAGTAGGCTGGGTGCGGGTTAGATTCTGGACTCACACCAAAAACAAAAACCCTAAAAAACAACCCAAAAAACCTTGCCCTCCCCCACCCGCCCCAAGAACGCCTGCTTAGCCCTGGCCCCACCCCAGAAGGCTTTGGTGTGGGGCCTCCCCTTGCACAGAGGCCTTTTAGGACTCTGGCCGACGGGACCGCGTCCTGGTGGTGGCCTGCACAGCTCTCTAGAGCGCCTCTAAGTCTCCTTCAGGCCCCGGCCAGAGACCCCTAGGCTAGGGTAGGAGGGATGGGGCAGGAGTGCCTCGGTGGCGGATTGCCCTGGAGAGGGGACGAGGTCGTGTTGCCCTGAGCAACGCGGCATGTGCTTCGGCCGACCAGGAGGGCAGTGTCGCTCGGCTACGGCAAACAAGGCACTTCTCGGGGCTGCCTGCAGCCGGCGTGGCGAGCCGGTGCCTGCAGGAACTGGCCGCGAGATACGGCGGCTGCTTTGCCCGGGAGGCGCTGGGGCGGGGCAGGGCGGGCGTCTGGCGGGGCTTGGCATGCTGCCTCGCGCTGGGGTCTTCCCTCCCACCTCCCTGGGTGTCACCCTAGCCGCGTCCGTAGCCCGTGTGCTATAGCACGCCCTCCATGAAGCTGGTATCTAGATGCTGAATGAGCACTCGCAGAAAGGACATCTCCTTTCGTGTATTCTCAAAGATGACGCGCGGGTCATCCGACTGGCAGCGCAGGCAGTTGGGGGCCATCACCATGGCCAGGTTGCTGACGTCCATTTTGGTGATGGCTACGTTGGCAGGCTGCACAAACACCTAAGTGGGGGGAACCGAAAGAAAGAAGAGCAGAGTGGAGGATGGGCGTGGCTATTAAGGGGTTGTCAGGGAAGGTGGGTCGGGTAGGGTGAAAGGCGGGCCTTGGCGTGGCGTGGCGTGGCGGGCAGAACATGCCTACCTGGAGGAAGCGAATGAGGTAGCACAGCACCATACGGTTGATGCGCGGTAGCGCGTGCACCACGGCCACCGCCGCTTCCGGGCTCTCGTAGTGCGCAATGCATTGTTCATAGAATTCGTGAGGAATCAAGGGCTCCTCCAGCTCCCGATACCACAGCTTCAGCAGCGATGCTGAGGGTGAGAGTGTCTTAGATGGTCTTGGTATAGGGGCCCCCAAGCCAAGCATCCACCAGAGGCCACATCCAGGGACACTGGGTGTGTGCAGTGTGTGCGAGGGTATGGGGCAGGCTGGAAAGCATCCCCTGGTACAAACCTAAGCGACACTGAGGCAGATCTCAGAGGCGCTAGCTGTGACCCATCGGGCGGTATAGGTGTTTGTGTACCCACAATGACTACAGAGTAGAACTTCTCAGAAGGGTGTGCAGCTGCTGAAGGGGTGAGCTGCCTGAAAACGCCCCAGGAGCTGTGGGCTGGGTTGCTCTGGAGGGGCAGAACCCTGGGCACACCACGAACACTGACGTGTCCAGAGGGCGGGAGAGATCGGGAGAGGGTGGGAGAGGGTGGGAGACGGTAGGAGGACATCTAGAAGTGATGGGGAGACGTAACTTCACTAAGAGAATTCTACTGTAGGTAGGTTCCGGGGACAAAAGAAGATGGTGAGATGCAGCCACAGGACAGAGTGACGAGGGCATAGGGTGACGGGGGTGTGGGTGTGGGTGACTGGACAGGTACCCTGGCCTGAATGCTGGTCTACTTTCTAGGATATGCATGCAGGCAAACACCTGCCCAGCCGCTAAGTATGCTTGGAGCTCACCAGGGACGTGGGGGTCCTCCAGGCCTGTGGGCACCTTCCACTGATCCACTTGCAACTTCAGGGCATTGACCTCGTCAATGTCACCAGGGACCCTAGAGAGCACAGGGCAAGTGTCAGACTAGAGGAGCTCGTCTTGCCCTAGTCCTGGCCTTTGGAGTGACAGAGAGCTTCAAGGGTCCACCAGCCTGATCAGTCCTCTCATGTGGGGCGGGATGACTCAGGGCTCTGATGCTCTTTTGGGGACATCCTGCCCACGCACTTGGGTCAGTGGAGTAGGATTCTCCTGGGGCCATTCTCCTTTCATGGACTCTGTAGGCTTTTCTGTGTAACTGTCTCCCTCTGCAGGCCACTAAAGCCCAAACTTGCAGCCTTGGCTTCTCTACTTATTCTTTGGGGGCTTGGGCATCCCTGGTCCTGACAGGCAAGTGCCATCCCCATGGCAGGGTCTGTTACATCCCTGTACACACAAGATGATGGCCAGCTGCACACCATCTCTGAGGCTCTTGTCATGTAAGGATCATGTTCTTACTGGTATCTAGGTCACTCTGGACTCCTGTTGGCTGTCTCTGGTTGGCCATGCTGCTACTTTGGGAAGTGACACAGCCAACTTGCCTCCTACGGATGGGTCATTGTCTTGTCTCTTTTGGATGCAGGACCTCTAGGCTTTCTGGTCCCTGATATGAGGGATAGGCAGTGCATACACTCCTGTGCTCCCTTTCTCCACCCACAACCGAGGGTGGCAAAGCACCTGAAGATGCCCTCCGTCTGGTCACCGTTGAGTGCTAGCACCTCCTCGGAGAGGCGTGTCTGAACCCAGGGCAGCTGCCGCTCAGGGTAGCGCTCTTTCTGCATGCTCATCACCTCCTGCAGCGCACTGCCAAACATGGACGGGCTGAATACTGCGTTCCTGGCATGGCGGATTTCCTCCACGTTAGGTTTCTTCAGGCCCTGCGGAAACAGCCCAGTGCTCAGGTTCTTCTATGTATTCTCCCTAAAACTGGGCCTTGGCCCAACAAGAATCAGGGACAACCCAGATTCTAAACTAAGTCACTAAAGGAGTCTCCCGTCAGGCCACCTGTAGCACCCCAAAACCACGAGTATGCAGAACGGTGGAGAGGTGAGGGTCCCCAGCACAGACTTGCATACGGCAGTGCCTGTCTCCTGCACCTCACCATGCCAAGTAGAGTCCTTAGGGGGCAGTGTAGCCAAATTCCCAGGCTCTGGAATGCTGGGTATGGCCAGGTGGATGGAGCACCTTACTCGGGTAGGTTACCAGTTGCCCTGTCTAGCATGTGTACCCATGCAGTGCGCCCCAGCTGGAGGCCCAGGCATAGTCAGGGGCCCGCGAAGACAAAGACTGGAGCACAGGTGTAAGGCTTCCTAGCCACTCACTAACATAGGCTGGGGCACTCTGCCAGCCAACGCTCTCCGGAGCCTCACTGTCCCTCCGTCAGGCTTCTGTGTGTTCTGCAGGTGAATCATTTGCCCTACCCTGAGTCCCCCAGAAGCGTCTGTACCTTCTTGGCCCCAGTCAGGGCCGCCTTCTGCAGCTTGTGGTAACAGTACTTCGCATAGGTGCTTATTGCTACCCCTGGAAGAGAAAGGGTGGCAGTCAGCCTGATGTGGACTTGTAGGACACAGGGGCTAAGAATAGCAACCGTAGGGGTTCTGGGATATGACCAACCTCTCACCCACCCCTGAGCTACACAGTAGCTCATACTCTCCGAAGCACAGTCCTTTAGAGCAGAGACCCAAGAGCAGAGGCAACGGGCACCTCCCCCACCTCTAGGAGCTAGGGTAGTAGAAATCCCTTTGCCAGCCTTCCTAAAGCCACCTAGGAAAAGCAAGTTGGGAGCAAAGCTGCTTCCCTGGAAGGAGTCATAGGCAAGAAAGAGCACACCCTGGGTCCAAGGCCTTCACACCCTACTTCCTTTCCTCCTTAGGTGACCCTAGCAAGGCCTCTGGTCCTCCCCGGTCCCAGCGGAAGAGGCTTCTGGATGAGGCATTTGGTGCTTTTGGTCAGCACTGGGGCAAAGGCTGTTCTCCAGCAGCCCTGGCTTCCTTAGGGAGGGAGGGAGGCTGGGGACAGAATGTCAGGAAGAGAGCGGCCAAGGCTTGGCACTTAGTGAAAGACAGCAGCTTGTAGAAGATGCCAGTGCTCCGTGCCAGCGCTCTACCTAACCGAGAGTAAGATAATGGCAGGGCTGGGGCATGGCTTCGTCACCAAGGTGGGGAGCTTTCCGGGACTCACCCCTGCCGCAGAGTTAGAGACACTGGGTGTTGGTAGATAGATACACTAGCCTGCTATGAATGGAAGATGATGTCAGCTGCCACCCACCTGGTCTCAGCAAACGAGGAGGGAGCAGATGATGGAAAATGCCAAGAGGTGCCATGGACAGATCAGCCACCGGCCACATGCTTCTAGAAAATGGATACCCCTCCCTTGGAAGGCCCTGCCCCTGTGACCATGCTTCTAGAAAATGGACACCCCTCCCTTGGAAGGCCCTGCCCCTGTGACCCCAGCTTGCTACCTGCTGGGGTCAATGAATCCTGTGACTGGAAATACCTCTGCCTTTAAAAGGAGACAGGTTTTTTTTTTTTATGGACACCTGAGGTCTTGGAGAGGTCCTTAGATTATTATATATATATATATATTTATGCCATAAGTATATTTTGAACCATGAGAACCCTTTATCACAAAAGTTTTATTCACATCTGTAAGGAGATT